TTAATAATAAAATAATATAAAAAAGTCAAAATTTAACTGTTTGAATAGATTTTAAAATACTTAAAACTATTCTCTGTTTACTTTCTTAAAATACAAACAGAGTACAAATAATTTTACAAGAGATAAACTTAAAGAACATAAGAAATACAAGAAAGTATTTGATGATATTATCTTGAGTAATAACTTAAGAGTTTCATAAACTAGCCAAAAAATATCTTGTCAATTTTAATATATATTATATATATTCGTTATTACTAACAAAAATAGAAACAGATAAAAATTAATGATAGTTTAGAAAATTTTGATTATTTAATTATGTTAATAAATTCTCTTTTTTCTAAGAACAAGAAATTGAGTTAAGATTAAACATGAAAGAAATAGGATTTGATGAGTATATTAATAAAAAAGATAAAACCTAAAAGTATATTTTTTCTTATAGTTGATTGAAAGTATGATTTTGTTATAACAATAAATATTTTATAGCTATTTTCAAAACAAAAATATATCATTACTATTTAAGTTATATTGATCTAAAATATTAAATTATGCATAAAATTCTGATCTAATAATAATGAAAAATTATCATGAAATATTATAAGTAAAATTTTTTAAATAGAATCTCTTTTTAAAATTTACTTTACTGATGATAGAGATGATCATTTTTTTGAAAATTTAAGAGTTTATTATATATTCATTCAAAAATGCAAGTAAAAACATTCTTTAGGAAATACTCAAAAATTTTAGAAAGGATATTAAATTAAAGTTAATTGAAAAAAAAGTGATAAAGAATGTAAAATCAATCCTACAAGAGTATATCAAGATTCATATTTTTTTCTTTATCATCATCCTTTTTAATGTCTCTTTACTGACTATTTTACTTAGGTTACTCTTGATAATGATAATAGTAGATTACATAAATTTTGCAAAATTATTACTAAATCTTTTTTGAAAATATTTAATTTAATAGTAGAGTAAGAATTTTTTTGACAAATAAAATTTCTCTTTGAGTATCTGTAAGTTTTGATATCTTTTATTTAAACAACTTTTTAAAATGTTTATTAATAAGAATTTTTTCTTACTATTTTTAAGTCTTATACTATCCTATTGCATTTATTGAAGGAATTATTAGTGAAGGAACACTAGTGACAAATATAATAAGTCTAGTATTATAAATTTTTTTTATGATTATTATATATAAGAGGTATAAAAGTATTGGTTAATGCTAAAGCTAATGTAAAAAAAAAACCAATATCTCTATCAAAGTTAATGCCAATGTCACTAACTCTAAAGCCAATACTAAAAAAGCTGATGTCAATACTAAATTTAATACCAAATTTAGCATCACCTTATTATTATGATGCAAAATTAATATGTATCATTATATCCTTGTTTAATTAACCATAATTTTTTTTATTGATCATTTGTAATTCAAAATATAATTTTAATATATAAATTTGATCATATAGCATACAAAAAATTTTTTACATGAAAAAATTTGTTACAATAATATGTTTCAGGAAAAAATTTAGTAAAATTAAAAAAGAAAATTATTATTATAAAAAAATTAGACTATTCAAATATTAGAATTTTTGCAATTATTATTTCTTGTTCTTTTGTACAATATATATAAAAGTTATATAAACTAAAAAAACTTTCAAAGAAATAAACAGGTTGATCATAAATTCTTAATGACGTTAAATATAACTATCTCAAGTATTTAGTAATTAGGAATCAAAAAAAACCTATTATTAATCTTTACTTATATATTTCTCATTGAGTTTATTAATTTTAAAAAAAATAAAAAAGAAAATTATTTTAATTCATATTTATAAAAATTGGATTATAAATAATTTTAAAAAAATAGTATGATCAGACAAATTGAATTATACATAATTTTGAATCTTAGATTTTAGGACTATAGTTTTTAGTTGTATATTTTCTTAAGTCAGCATAAGTTTTGATTTTTTTAGTTGTTGGTTATGTAATTAAAAATATGTTATAAAATTTTAGATTTTTTGCGTAATTTTTGTTTAATTTATTTTTTTTATTTTGCTATCTTCATCATCTAATATGATGTAATTAATATATCTTCTAGTTATGTATATTACATTATATCAGCTGATCTTTTGAATTAATATTTTCCTATTACAATATCCCTTCTTTTAAGAATGAATTCTAATGAAATTTCTAAAACAAATAATTTTTATTATTATAAATTTTTTTATTTACAGATTTTCAAATAACAATTTTTTCCAATTTGTTTTAAATAATTCTAAATTGTTTCATAAAGTTGTAAATTTTATCAATTGATTATGTAATAGGATTATGAATTTTGTTGATCAATTATATGATTCATATGATAATTATCAACAAATAATTAACTAATAAATATTTCTGCAGGAAAAAGAATTTTCACGATTTTAAGAATTTGCATAACCATAATATTTTATTATAAATATTTGTCTAAAATCTCTTCTATTTTTTACCAAATTTTATCCTTTCAACCAAAATTATTGCAAAATCTTAAACTTTTTTTAAAATTTCTAATTTTTATATTTTCTATATTTTCTTCATTATAGATAAATAATAACGAAGATTTTTTTTATTATCTGCAGTTTTGCACTTCACAAAAAGATCGTTAATATATCAATAATTTAGAGATAGAAAACTACCAACAACAGCAAAAAATTACAAGGTTAACTAACGAGCTAACAGCTTTTCTTCTTATTTTAATAATAGGAATAAGGAATTTCTAAATTTGAAGTTTTTATATAACAATTTTAAGTAATGTTTTAACAATCTTCAACAAGAAATTAAACCGTTATAAACTTTACCTACTGAAAAAGAAGAATGACTTTAAAAGGAGATAATCTATCTTCAGCAATTATTTCAAGAAGTGATCATACAACTGTCTCAGAGAAGTTGAGAATTCCATCATCAAAATTAATTAATGATAAAGTATATTACTAATAATATTTATATAATTATAAGTTAAAGATCAATATAATGATTGAATGTTATCTAATGTTTATATATTTACTCTAGCCTGAAAAAATTAAAAAACCTTTTTTTATTTAACAGTTGTAACATGGATTAAAGAATCTTAAGATAAAGTTAATAAAATCTTATTTAAAGATCTTTTAAATGTTATAAAATTTCAAAAAAACTGACTATTCAGAAGATAACTGCCAATTATGATAATTATTGGATGATGTTAATGATGATGATGAAGTAAAAGAAAATGATGATAATGATGAATTTCTGAAGAAATTGATTATGAAAATAAATGGGATATTGAGCAAAATGACAGCAATAAAATTAATGTTAAAGATAAAGATGATAATGATATCAAAGATAAAGAAGAAAATAATGATGATTCTGATGATGAAAAAACGCGTTGTAACTTAAAAGAATTAAAAAAATATATAAGATAAAATTATTGTATTAATTTATTAAATAGAATTTATTAAACAGAATTACTGATTGTAAAGAAATTTATTTTTTTATATAATTAGAGAGCTTAGAAAAATATTACAGCATAATGTATAAACGTAATATAGTTAATAAAAATTAATTTCACAACACGTGATATCCATTATAGTGATAAGCCTCTTTCATCATCAATCGGAATATAAATTTATCAATCAATTTCCGTTTTTTTTGAAAAAGGAAAAAGTTATAAGCCACAAAAGAAAATCGCATATTTACGAAAGTGTTTAATTTCGAGTTTATTTAATAATAATTCGCTGCTTTTTTTTGATAAGTTTTATAAATAGCTAAGCCATTTTAATTCCCAATTTGATTTTTTTTTTTTTGGCCACATTTGTGAAAGTAGATCCCTTTACAACAGTTGAAACATTAAAAAACATTTCAGCCAAATACACTAAAAATAGTTTTAAAATTAATATTTCTCCATTTAATAAATGAAATAGCTCCCTTAGTAGTAGTACAATAATGAATGCTATAAAAAGCAACTCGATTTTTATTTACTTACATTCAGACATCCGTTTCAACACCGCCGCAATCGCCAATTATAAGTTTTTTTTTTTTTTTAAAAAAAAAAATATTTTAATTAAGTGGAAAAAAAAGGATTATTAACGATGTAAGTTTTATTTTTCTAACGTAAAAAAAAGGAAATTTTTTCAGCGTAAAATATAGTATTAATTATTAGTCTAAACCTTTTATGCTGAAAAATAACATAGGTCCTCCGAAAAAGAACATTATGATAGAGTACCAGAAACGACTGGACCCCCTCCTAGCCAAACCAAGATTGAAGTAATACAGGGGCAAATTGCTAGTACAAAAAATGAAATTAATAAGACTATTAAGGATCTTGCCGAAAGAGGGCAAAAATTAGAAGAATTAGAGGAAACAACAGGTATGTGATATCCATAAAGTTAGATTTCATAAATAATTTAAGAACTAAAACCATTTCTATTATATCTTTAGCCATGTTGTCGGATTCCGCTACGAAATTTAAGGCTCATTCCCAAAAAGTTCATAAGAAGATGTGGTGGAAGAGTTCAAAAATGACAGTTATTATTGCTGTAACCGTAATTCTCATCTTGGCTGCTATCATCAGTAAGTTCAATATTAATAATTTGATTCGAAAAAAAAAAATTATCATAATTAACATTTTTTTCTTTTGTTCGGAATCAAAGCTCCAATTGTTCTTAAATTTCAGGGAAAGATGTAGCTGAATTTTTCAAATGGAAAAGGAAACGATGAGATAGAATGATACGTGTAAAAAAATTATTTTTTATTTGTATATAATAATTTTTGATTTGTCCAATTATTTTATTCATTACTCACATAATCTATACACGCGTAGAGTCAATTAATGTCCCGTTAATACGTTTGATTTTGATAGAAATTTTTTTGAACTTTTTTATTATTTAATAAATACCATTAATAAGAAAAAAGAAGGAACATTTGACGAAACAATTAATTTTGAGATTTTTTTTAAAAGGGTGATGTATTCCATTGGAGGACACGCGTGTTTAGACGGTATATTTCATACATCTCGTTTCTTCATGGGTTTCCTTGCATCTTAAACTACAATATTTCATCCCACATTTTTTACAAGCATAAGCTGAAATAAATCCACAAACCGAACAGAATTTTCTTGGAGGAAATCTGGATGGTTTAGCCCCAGCTGTTAAATATGTTGGAATGTCTGGTGGTTTTTCCGCTATTTTCTATTAAAAGTTTTTAATTAGTGTATATGATAATAAAATAAAAAATCATTAAAATTATAATACATATTACCGATTCATCTAATAAGGCTTTAAAACTTCTTTTGGATATTGATTTTATATGTTGATTTTTGGTTCGTTTGGATTTCCTATCTATAGATAAAAAAAACAAATGAATACTTGGTTTTTTACAATCGGAGAAATGGGTCGGTTAACTTACGTTGACTCGTATCAGCCAAATCAGAAAACCGACGAGGTTTTGAAATGGTTCCTGTTACAATTTCAAGTTCGGGTATTTCTTGATAATTATCTCTTTCTAACTCATTTAAATGAATTTCTATATTTTTTCTTCGCGTCGTTTCATCAATTTCTAAAGTTTATTTTTTTAAAAAAAAAAAATTTGTAAAAATAAGAAAAATAAGCGAGAAAATATTGAATAATTGCTGTACCTTTTTGTTCTTTTTTTGACATATTTGAAAATTAAAAGTTAGGTTCAAAAAATTCTAAGTTAAATTAATACCACAGAATCTCACAGAATTCCATGGAAGATTGGAATTTGAATATCGGGATTATCTTTTTTTTTTTTTTTTGCAACGCCAGAATTATTTAAAAAAGTTTTTTTTTATTTAAGAGTGATACGCGAATTGAAGGAATATGTGGTCACCTACAGTAATTAAACGCGTAATGGGAAAACAAAGAATAAGCCTTAATAACATGAAGGTTGCAAGTAAGTATTTTAAATTGAAAGTGTTAACGAAATTATTTATTTTTAAGAAAAACTTTTTGTCGGTATATGATTTAGTTGAAGCCGTAAAAACATTAAAGGTTCCAAATGACGCAACGATAGTTGAAATTTCTCCCGGTAATTTTTATAACCGTAATTCACAATTTTGTAAATTAATTTAATTAAAAAAAAACATTGAATTGATTCGATTTCAAAATAATCAATAGGAGTGGGTTTCTTAACACATGCTCTTTTAAATCATACCAATGCTCGAAAAATCATCGCATTAGAAAATGATAAAAGATATGTAAATGAATTATCAACATTAGTAAAAGAATCAGATGGTAGATTAGAAATTTTAAATATTGATATCTATAAATGGGATACTTATGATCATATAAAAACTCATTTAACTCATATACAAATACATCCCTGGGAAGAAGGTAATTAACTATTATTCCAAGCCTTTTCCATATATATATATATACATTATATATTTTTTTTTTTTTTTTTGAAAAAAAAAGAATTTTTTCGCCAAATTAAAATATTAAACTTTTTTTTTTTTTTTTTTTAATAGTCCATCCTAATTTAATTACGTTAATTCATTTACCTAATACATCAAGAGGAGAAATTTCATTAAATAAATTAATATCAAATTGTTATAATAAAAGTGGTCTCCATTCATTTGGTAGATCTCGCATGAATTTCATCGCGCCAGAAAAAGCTGCTGAGGTATATTTGTCTTAACCGTGTGATATCGAATATATGTTCATTTTTATAAATTGTTAAATTATTAATTTTAGAAATTATTGGCGAAGGAGGGTGAATTACAAAGACATAAATTAAAAATTGAATTGGAAGCTATAGCTGATGTTGAAGTATTAAAAATTTTTCCCGAAAAAGCCTTTTATCCGAACGTGAATATTTGATTTTTATTTAATTTTTTCTTTGTAATTGAATTATCACGAGATTAAGAATGAATCGTCTAAATCTAAATACAGATTCAATGCGCGTTATTTGGAGTGACACCACTTGTTGAACCAAAACTACAAGGTAAGCTATCAATTCTTTTTCTCATTAATAAAAAAAGTTCATGAATGGGAAGTTAAATCAATTATGCGTGATTATATCAGGTTCATGGCATACATTCGAATTTGTAATAAAGACTTTAATGTCAAGGAAAAATGCTAAAGTAATCGAGATGTTAAGGTAACTTAATGATATAATACTGTCATTTTATTTAATAATAATCCCATCCTCATTAAAAATCTTTGGCTTTTTGAATTATAATAAATAGTACGCTGGGAGCTGGTGCGAATACATTAGCAAAAGATCTATCATTCGATCTAAATATACCAGTTAGAAATATGACGGCAGAAAATTATAGTGAACTTTCAATTATATTTGATAAATGGCCTTTTAAACCTGATTATATTGATGATATATATTTACCTCCTCAAAAACATAGGAAAAGGTGGTGAAAGAAAAAAAAAAAATAAAATAATAATAAAATCTTTTTAAAATCTTTTAAAATAATTATATCCTCTTCTGTTAAAAAGTTTTCACTCGTTAATAATAAATATGTATACAAATAAAATGTGAATTCAATTAAACAAAAATGTCGAACCTCTTTTTTTAAAAAAATTTCTTCTTCCTTCTTTACATTATCTTTTAATCAACTTCACTTTCATTTACTATGAATCCGGGATCCAATTTCTTATGTGATGACTTTTTAACTTTATCCTCATTAATAAACCAAAGAAATACTTCCCTATCCGCTGGTAATTTTGTAAGTTGAGGATCCCTTGATACCTTTTTATAAATTAATTTTGAATTTTGCATCTGAAGTAATATTTTTTGTTTTAAATGTTTATGAGATATTAATTGTGGATATTTTGTTACATATGAAAATAATTGTTTTGATGTTTGTGGTCCTTCTTTTGTTAATAAATGAAGTATTATCTTATAAGGTTCAAGTCCCATTTTGAATTTAAAAGACGGTTTTTTGGGAAAAAAATTAGGGTGTCCAGAATAAATTATTTAGTCATTGAGATTGTGATCAGCCAATCATATTTGTTGCAGAATAAAATATCCGCATCACCTGGACACCTAGATGTAGGGATGTTAACGGTCGGTTTCGGTCCGATTTTATCGGTTTGAGGGTAAAATCGAACTGGATCGGTTTGTAGAGCGATTTGAAACTGGAGTATAGACCGAAATTTAGACCGGAGTTTATATATACAGGTTATTGTAAAAATCTTTGACGAAACTATAAAAAAATTGTGCGATACTCAAACATTCCCAATACAAAAATTTTATTATAATACAAATAAACCGAAAAAAAAATTTTTTTTGCGATCTATTATTACCGAAACGTTATTTCCATCAAGCTTTTGACCACAATTTTAATATAAATTTATACATTTTCTACTATCCTTTTTTCCGAAATCCAATGCTTCATACAAATAATTGCTCTTTCTGATGGAACCGACGTCGCTTGAATCGATAAATAATCCTTAGCCATTTGAGACAATATAGGATAATCTTTTTCATGAACTTTCCACCAAATTAAAGGATTAGCACCACTATCTAATACAAATAATAATGTAAAATGAAAATTATTCTAGTTAAAATGATCAATGCATCTTACAATTTATGTGATATAGTATTTATATAGATTGATTGTCTAAACTGGTCTAAATACCAGTTCTATGATCAAACAAGAATCAGACCAGTCTAACCACAGACCTTAACATTCTACTTGGACACCCTAGATGTGAAATCAATAAACAAATCTCTTTTTTTCAGTTTAATAAGTTGAAGGAAGTTGAAGAATTTGAATAATGAATTGTGAAAGTTTAATAGTTCAATAAGGAGAGAAAATGATGAGAAGAAAAAGGAAATTTTAGAGAGAGATAAGAAAGTTTTAGAAAAACAAATAAAAATTATAAATTTAATGACATTAGAAAAAGATAAAGAGAAGTGAAAAAGTAAGTGATATATTAGCTAAACTTGATAAAGATAATATCCATTTCACATTTTTGTGAATATTGTAGAAATAAAGATAATGTCATTTTTTTTATTATTTCTTGATTATTATTTGTTTTGAAATTATTTTTTGTTTGATAAAGGTAGGTCAATTTGAATATTTAATTTAATAATCAAAGATTCTCAAAAATATATTGCTACTTCTGAATTTATTTTGTCTTAGATTTAAAAATATAGAAGATCAACTAATGAATTTCCACCAAAGGTAAATTAAAATTAATATATGTTATTTATTGATATATTTACCTAATATATTTTTGTAATTTTATTATTTCAGCTTATATTTACATATGGAAAGATTTCAAGTTCTTTATCGTGAAATAACTTTGAAATAGAACTTTAGATAAGAATGGTGTTACTATACGTCTCTGAATAACATTGAAGATCGTAATTTCCATCTAATTCCATTTATTGCAGTAAGACCTGATACTGAAAAAACTTAAGTATTGGAAGAAAGTTTAAATATATTATAACAATATGTAGAAAATGATAATGATTCTGATTTGAAAAAACTGGTAATGCTGTATTAATTGATGTTATATATAGGAATGCTAGTACTGCCTCTATAATAGATAGGTTTATTGATGATGAATTAAGTTTGTCATTATGAATTCTCTATCGATATTTTGTGAAAGGAATTTCTAATTTAGAATTTTATAACTTTGTTGATATTATAAGAAGATCCTTTTTTAACATTTATGATTTTAATCTAACAACAATTCTAATATTATCATATTAGATATTAACAAAGAAAAGATCATGATTATCAACTGTATTAACTTTAAGATTATGATAAATGCTATCAGTACATGTTATGTATATAGTTCAATGTTTTATGTATCTTTACTTGCTGAAACAATTTATAAATCTTTGCATGATATTGTTATAAAGTTTATACATCCTCTTTTATCCCATTTTTTTATCGCTATTAAGGATGAATCATATGCTAGAAAGTTGCAGTTTTCAGTTGACACAAATAATTATTTTTATCAATACCTTAATGATATTAGTGATCATTATTGAACATTGAAATTCTTTTATCAGCGATTCTCTAATTACATTGTCAACACTATTTATTTTTTA